TTTTGTAATAAAACAAGACAGTGAGATAACAAAGGTTCCCAAGGAAAAAATAATCATAGGTCAATAAAGGACATTCCCAATGGACCAAATAAAATATTAAGTGGCACTTGCTGTCTGTCCCTTTCACAGAATGTCAGCTTCAGTAGGAAGTAAGGAGGAAGACATCACACTCACTGGTCTCTCTTAAGACACTAACGTAAACACCACATAGCTATTTTTCTGATGTACGTAGTAACCCTCAAAATAAATAAAACTTATTTATCTATATTACTCACAAATTTGGAATGCTAATTCGACATTATCGGAAATTTTTTTAGGCTTCCTTGATGCCGTGAAAAAGGAAACCTTAAGTCCCATAATTTTAAAGATTTTATTATAAAAAATAAATCACAGCCATTTACATGGAAATAAGATCTTGACTCTCGACCTTGCTCCTCTTGGTCTTCCATGCCATTTTTCTCCATTGTCATACCGGAAGTATAGTAACCTAATTATACACAAGCATCCTGCTCTCTGCAACTATTTTATTAGGGTGGAAATTGGGATGAAATGACTTTAAATACAGCCAACTCCCACATTGGAAGATTGATTATCTAGTGTCTGGATTACTCATTACCCTCGATACCTAGAAAGGCTATCCTCTGGCCATTTGTGCAGGGGCTGAGAAGGAAGGGCACTGACATTCAAATGATTCAAATCTGGTAATGTTACTAGTCCATAGTGATGGAGCCCAGAAGGAAATAAGGAAACACTGTTGTGAACAAGGTTTTGTATGTTGATGACCCTCTCGGTCTACCAATACCAGGATCATCAATCATTACTCTGTCCAACTAAGTAGAGAGCTGGGGTGCAACAGAACATGCCCTGCTCGATGACAGGGTACCTCGTCATTATTCCACTTCTTTTGGTTTGACTTGTGTAAGCAAGAAAAGGGATGCACAGAATAAACACTACTGGTCAGTGGTTTTCCTCGAGAACCTTCCTCCATGAATGCTGGAAAAGAAAACGGGTACTTGTTAAAGCTTGTTTAATTAAATGCTAACAGCCATAAAACCATGCAAAACATGGAAATGTTCCAGATAAGGTACTTATATCTGGACCTTCTCATCTAGGTCATTCCTGTTACATTTTTCCACAATTATCTTACATTTTCTCTTTAATTCCTCTTTAGATTTCTTATCTGCTTCTCTCTTTAAATATGAACCCCCCTGACTGCAAGGCCTGTTCACTATCTTTCTTTGTATCCTGCACATAGTATTCAGTGAAAATTCCTCCTCTAAGTGCTCTCACAACTCCACATAGAAAGCTACTTATCGCCTCATCTATAACTGTACTCCACTCTTCAACTATAAAGAAGATACTCAGGCTCAGGAACCATGGCATAGTGATTACAATGCCAGCCACATGTGCGGAGGGTGGTGGGTTCGAACCCAGCCCAGGCCAGCTAAACAACAATGACAACTGCAACAGAAAATAGCCAGGCATTGTGTTGGGCGCCTGTAATCCCAACTACTTGGGAGGCTAAGGCAAGAGAATCGCTTAAGCCCAAGAGGTGGAGGTTGCTGTGAGCTGTGATGTCATAGCACTCTACTGAGGGCAATATAGTAAAACTCTGAGAAAAAAAACAAACAAAGAAACAACCAAAAATAAATAAATAAGAAGATACTCATAGCCTTGATTTTATGGTTAATTAATCCAAAACATCATCTACTATTATAGTAGGTCATATCCCACGAAGAATATAAGAACTAATAATCGCTGTTACCCCATTCATGCTTTTCTCTAAGTATAAATGTTAAAACAGAGAGTTGTGAACCTTATTGTGTGACGTAACAAAAAACATACAGGTGCTTTGCTAGTGATTCCTTCTAACATACCAATGTGTATCTTTTTTTTTTTTTAATGTGAGACAGGGCCTTACTCTATCACTCCAGTTGGAGTGCACAGTTACAATCATAGCTCACTACAGCCTCAAACTCCCAGACTCAAGTGATCTTCCAGCCTCAGCCTCCCAAGTAGCAAGGACTACAGGTTCACATTACCACACTTGGGTAGGTATTTTTTCTTTTTAGAGATGCGGTCTTGCTATGTTACCCAGGCTGGTCTCTAACTCCTGGCCTCAAAGGAATCTCCCACCTCAGCACTGGTATTAAAATTATAGTCACCATACCTGGTCACAATATGGATCTTCAAGTGCTTTTTAAGCTCTATAATCATAGTTTAAGTAGGAAGATGCATATTAGTAGCTTCTAATCTTATAAAAGGATACTCCAAAAGAAACCTCAACATTATATTACAACTTTATTTTTAGTTTCTTCACTATAAGGGACATTAAATCATAAAGCTATGAGTTTGCTGTACTAATAGAAATCCATAAAGGTAATCACTTAAAAACTTCCATTTTGATGTTCCTGATAAGCAATCCAGCATAGACTTTCCCTACTAAAAGACCTTTGTCTTAGAAAATGAGGGTCTTTTACAACGTGCCATCCATACCCGTAGGAGGAACTCAACAGGCTAACGGTGCAAACCAATGACACCTGGAGGCAGTGGGCAGGCATCAGGCGGGCAGTGTGGCCTTGCAGCAGCTGCTGGAGGTGGAGAAGGCCAGGAGGCTGCAGAACCAGACGCCCACCAACCAGAGACCCCCATGATGGGGTCGGGGGGAGCAGTGATGCAAGGCTGGTTTGTTAAGCTAACACTGCCTTACCCTACCTATCACCACTTAACGGCAGTGTGTGTGGTTTAGGGATAAACAGACAGGAAGGTGGATTAGGTTGCAGGTGATCTCGGCAGAAAGATATAAAAGTTGCTACACGTTCCCAGACCAACATACCTTCCAGTTTATTCACAACCAAATCCTAACGTGCCCATTGGGGATTCCTAGCACTGACCAGCAATCCTTGCAACAGTTTCAGCGCAATTGATGATCTTAAGAACTTTAAACTGTATAATTTTTCTCACAGACATTTCCTCTTTTGATCTGCTAGTGTAAACAAATGTCACTTCTAGAGTTCTCCAAAGGAAAGAATTAGGTAGAATAAAGATCAACTGTTATGACGCATCCTGAGAAAACACGTCAACGTTGGAAGCCAATTTTCTTTTGTAGGTCAAATGTGAAAATAATATTATATTATAAATTGTTAATCTATAGGCCCCTTTTAAAGGATTCCCACTAGCTCCATGTCAAAGGTGATATTATTCATGTTCAATTATTTCTTAAAACCATATAAAATTACACACTATATTACGCCTCCATTTATCTCCATGAGGCTCCTGTCTCCCTATTACATGAAGGGATAAAGGGCACAATCTTCTGTATTATTGTCTTAGCAAGTCTTCCCTCCACTTTATAAGTCACCCTGTCCTTTACAATGACTTCTTTATTTTCCACCAGTCAAGGATACAGTATTTGCTTTATTTCCCAACTAAAACTAATACATGCAAATTCAGTCTCTTTCCTTTTAAGGTTAATTTTGAGGAAGCATCTACAATAGGAATCCTAAAGCCACATGCTCACATGTGCACAGTCTTTACCAGAAACTTGACAGCCGTTGACCTCGCGTAAAACAAGCCCTAAAAAGCAACCTTTGACAAAGACCAAAGGAATCAAAACTACACCCCCTTGCAACCGCAGTACTACTGTATCCACCCTGCAAACATTCAGCTTCGAACATTACAACCCAACCATTTACCAAAACCACAGCTTATTCCTGATTTAGAAAAGCAAAGTTCACGGACTTGCTAAACTACACACAACTCCAGCCAGAAAGCACAAACGCCTTTTCTAAGCCTGGCAGTTCTACAGCACCTGAACTAAAAACCCACATTGTCAAGCTCGAATGAGCAAGATCACTGTTGACCACCTTCTGGATATAATAAACAACTCGCCTCTTCAAAGAGTATGAACTAGTCCCTCTAGTGCTATCGTTTAATAGATGAGGACAAATGGTTAAACACACATTATCCCTGAAGAAGGGGTGCGTTTAACTCTCAGTCGGTGCAACATAATGACTGTACTCAGAAGCATGTATTTAACTTAGCTGACTGTCTCACATTTCAGCAGCTTTGCTTTCCAAAAGAGAGGGAAGGACAGGTCCCTGAAAGATTCCAGCGAGGGTTTTTTTGGGCGCAGGGAAGGATGTGATAAACAGAGAAAACACAATCAGGAGAATGTCCGGACTAGGTTTCTTTGTAAGACTTAAATAGCGCCCCCCTGCTGGGTTGGCCGCTGCACTGAGTGGTGAAACCATTTTAAAGCTTCACAATTCAGCCTTTACACACTCTCAACAGGAAGAACTCAGAAATTCTAGATGTAAAACAGGGAGTGCTAAGACACATTGAAATATTTCCCTCTCTCCCCACAGGCCTGGTATTTTTTTCTTCACCTTGAGGGAGGCAAAACACACTCACCCTGAGAACAGAGACCAACGCTGGAGACAAACTTGATAGAAAGCCAGTGAGTTCTTTTGGCCCAGACCTGAAGGGGAAGCGCTCTGTGTGTTCATTTTCCCCAATGTCACACACAGACCGACACCTGTTTAACTCGAGCACTCACGAAACCCATCAATCTTCTTACAAGAAAGATGCAAGAGGATTATCCGCGATTCCCAAAGTTTTCTCAGTGTCATTTCAGAAAAGAACCCCATCGTTATAAGAGCAAAGGCTCCTCTCGGGTGGTGGTTTAAGGTTTACCATTGAACTTTTCACAAGTCACATGAGCGTGTGGGAGCTGATGAAGGAAGGGGAAGTGCTGAGGACAAATAACAGCTATTTCATCCTTCTTAGAAGGATACAATCCCAAGCTGATTCCAGCTTGGAAGGACATTTTATTTTCGACACGAAAAACAAATAACACCAAATTCCAAAACAAAAGCAAACAAAAAAGAAACTCCTAACGGGGGGCAAAAATTGCCAAGGGAAATCAATGACAGAAACCAAAGACTTCTATGGAATAAACTTTTGAAAATGCTTGAATTAAAAAAAAAAAAGCAAGTCACCTTTTCTGGGCTGGGTTCTGTATATCCAGTTTTCATCATCCGCTTCCACCTGCTGCCCGCAAACGGAGAGCTCTCCATCACTGCGGAACAGCCTCTTTGTCTGCCTGGACAAGGAGGAGAAATTTATCCAACTCACAGCACGTGAGAGAGAACCCGCGTTTGCCTTCAGTCTGAAGGAACCCGAAGAGCGTTCCTTTTTCATCTTCTTTCACACCAAAATCGAGTCAGAGACAAAGGACGGCCCCACAGACAAAAAGCTCTGTTTTTTAAATTGGTCGGGTCCTTTACATCGGCCTGTGGCTTCCCACTCACTCGGACAATGTGCAGTGTCAGGCACAGCACTGTGCAGAAAGATTGCTTCCGTGCCACCCAGTTAAAAAGAAAAGGAAAATGAGGGGTTAAGAAAGAGGGAAAAAATGTTTTAGCCTAGCCACATGGTGGTACTCGGTTTGTAGATCAGCAGGATCCGCTGCCAAAACATAAAAATAAATAAAAGTACAATTTGAAAACTGAAGCGGGTGTTCATTTCAGGAGCACTTGTCGGGACTTTGCGAAGAACAGAACCCAGGCACTCCGGCTCTTTGGTGTGTCCCTCGGACCCCAAACTGTAATCCTACTCCGCTCCCGGGCATCCTTCCCCACCCGGCAGAGAGCTAGCCATCTGCTGCAGAAGGAAGTAACTCCTCACCCTGGAGAAAAAGGCTGAGTGTGAAGCCTGGCACCAGTCTAAAGTTCACCCACACAGGTTACTGGGAGAAATCAAAAGAGTTCAGCTCACTTGCCCCAGCACAGGCCAGAATCATAAACCGCCCACTCGCCTCCTCCCCGTCTGCGAAGCGCTCAGCCGAGCCACAGGACTCCACAAACAATAAAACAGGCGGCGTGGCTATTGCTTGGATCACAGAGCCGGCGCTCCTGCGAAAGAGGATAGGCTTTTCCGACACCAAAGCCACCTCATTGGAGACAGAAAACCCCGCCCCTCCACCGCCAACACTTAGTGGCAGCTCAAACTTCGGAACTCCAGCAAAGCTGTGGATATGTAAGTCTGTGCAGAATACACACTTCCGGGGATAAAAATTAAGAACTCAATTATTAATTATCAGACCGGCTGTCTGCAAGTGAGGTTTTGAGAAGGAACTTAATACAGTATATAGTTATGTAGTATCCAGCATTTCTAACTGGATTTAGGAATGCCTTCATCTGAGGAAATATACTGCTCAAGAGAATAACAGTGACCCAGATATCACGGCACTCCCAGCTTCAGCAAAGGTGAAAGGCAGCCATTGTATACCTGATCACCTCTCTTGCCTGTCACCAGCAGCCAGCTTACAGGACTGAGGACTCTTCTCTGCTCCCTCAACTGCCAGCTCCTGGAGGTCATTCCTCTCCAGCCTTGAGTGACCATCTCAGGGAGGTGACAGTGGCAATTAGCTGCAGGCTCTAGCCCTGAGACACCTCTGCAAACTATTGAGAGGCACATCCTGCAAGGCATGTGGGTGTAGCATCTCACCCAAGGCCAACCAGCTATAATTCCAAGGTCCTTGGAGTGTGAGTCCCTGCAACTTTCTCCAGACTTCGGTCAGCATCCCCCTCCACCAAGTGTTACTCAGAGCAAAGCAGATAAGTAGAGAACTAGGTCCATTACACTTTGCTTTACTCAGGGTTGATCAAATACCTGTACATTAAATCTAGCAAATTGAAACAAAATATGTCTATTAAAAATTATAAAAGTGGGAATTTATACCATACAATTACTCTAGTTCACTGAGATTTTTTTTTTTTTTTTGAGACGGAGCCTTAAGCTATCCCCGTGGGTAGAGTGCCATGGCATCATGCTCACAGCAACCTCCAACTCCTGGGCTCAAGTGAGTCTCCTGCCTCAGCCTCCCAAGTAGCTGGGACTACAGGCGCCCACCACAGCGCCTGGCCATTTTTTGGTTGCAGCCATCATTGTTGTTTGGCGGGCCCGGGCTGGGGATTCGAACCCGCCACCTTAGGTGTATGTGGCTGGTGCCTTAGCTGCTTGAGCCACAGGCGCTGAGTCTAGTTCACTGAGATTTTAAGAAAAAGGCTCTACAAGGTTATCAGGACTGGACCATTTATAGGAAAAAATCAGACATCGGGGAGTGCTTCTAGGATGGGCATTTCATACAACCCCATGGACACAACAGAGGACAGGTACTATTAAGGGTGAAGCTACAGAACAGCCCAGGTGGCATGGATACAGACTCAGTTTAAAAGTTAAATGGGTAGGCCAGACGTGGTGGGTAATGCTGTAATCCCAGCATTCTGGGAGGCCAAAGCATGGATCACCTGAGCTCATGAGTTCGAGACCAGCCTGAGCTAAAGCCAGACCCTGTCTCTTTAAAAAAAATAAAATGAAATAACCGGGCATTTCCGGAAGCTAAGGAAAGAAGATACTTGAGGCCAAGAGTTTGAGGTTGCTGTGAGCTATGATGCCACAGCACTCTACCCAGGGCTACAGAATGAGACTGTTTAATAAATTAATTAATTTTAAAAATTAATTTTAAAAAGCTAAATGGGTCCTTAAGAGATTGTGCAGTTTAAACCTCTCACTGTATATAGATAGGGAGATTCAGAGAAAGTATGTACACACCCAGTGTCACAGAGGAGTCAGTAACCAGGACCAGATTGTCAGACATGACTGGGACCAGAGCTCCACATCTACCAGGGATGCCCGCTACATTGCCAAGTGCTCTGGGCTTGTTTCAATTATTAATTGGAGTTATAATTCTACTTTGACCACTATTATAAAGGCAAAAATGATACAATTATGCATAACACCAGTGGCTAACATCAAACATCCAGTATATCCTTTCTGAGTGAAAGACACTATTTGAGAATTTCAAAATATAGAAATAAAAAGTAATGAAAAAAGAAGAATACCTCGCCAGAAAATCCATAAACACCCTAAATGTTGTTTACCATTTCAGAAGTTCACGGGACGCCCTGACACACATCTATGCACAAAGGATCCAGGGAGTCCAAACAAGGAACAAAATTCTCTCCTCCCAGTTGTCTACATTCTGGGGCTGTATTTTTAATTTAGAAATATCTAAGGTCTGTAATAAACCTTATGCCACAAGTCCTGTTCAGTGCCTCCTCCCACCTGCCCCTCCTTGGGGTGTGAGCATAGACAACAGCATAGATGAACTGTGTCATTAGGAACTGGTGTGCTTTCCTCTGGTTCCCCCCATCCCCATCTGCAGAAAGAGCTCATGGGAGGGGCTAAGGGATATTTACTGCCAAGCAGGCAAAAATGAGAACTGCTCCATTCAGGGACTAGATTCATGACTCTCCCTCAAAGCAAGTGTCCACTCAAGCTGGATTTCCAGAAACTATGTTCCCACAAACCACAAGAACTAGGGATACCACTTGCATAATAATCAAGTCTCTGTCTGCTAGGTAGTCCGTGTTTTTGTTATATTTGGCTTTGAGTATTAAATCTTCATTTATGTAGAAGAATGTCAAATAAATGAACTACTTTTACAATTGGATCAGCGTTCCTATTGACCAAGAGAGAATATAATGGTTTAAATCAACATTGGGGAAGATATTTAGATTTTAACATGTTGGATATTTACTGCAATTAGCTTAGAAAGTCCTAAGAAAGTCCTATGGCTTTTTAAGAAGCTACAACATTCACTCAAACTATATTTATTTAGCAACTATAATGAAGGACACATTTTAATGATCAGGAGTATCAACCCAAAAGCCATCAAACTGACCCCTCCCAGCAACAGGACCGTGGCCACTTTGTGCCATGAGTCTAATGTATTATTGCTAATCATCACCCTGCCGTGAAAAATCTTTACTTTTAGAATATAATTGGCTTCTTCAAATACCTTCAGCTATAATCTTCCAGGTAATAAAAACATCTTAATTTAACCATTTTTTCTCCATGAAAATCTACAACAGAACCCAACCCACTCTCCGCAGACCCTGCACACAGACATGCTGAACAGATTTGATCCCTGCTCCCACTGTGCTGTGCTTCCCCACTCCCCTCTCACTGTCAGGCTGTCAAATTGAAACTCCTGCTGTCACCACATGTGCCAGTAACTGCTCCCTGCCTACCACTTTGCCGAGGCTGAGCTTCAGGCATTGGGAATCAGATAAACAAGCTTGCTTAAATTACATGTTTAGTGGGAGTCGATGAGGACTCGCAGAATAAAATGCAAAGCCTTCCTAGAATGGCTTTGCCGCAGCTGCCTCCTAGGCCAGGCCTCTTGTCCTTTACTGCCAGGATGCAAGTCCAAGGATTGAACTGGCTGAAAGAGCAGCTCTGGGGGTCGATCTACACCAGGTTTATGATTGACTGCGTCTTTTATATCACATTCTCAGCAGTCGTGGGTCACTAACCCATCACTACTGACAAAAGGACGAGAAATTATATTATTCCAGAAATGATTTAAGTTAATACATTAAGCAAAAGTTAACTACAAGAACATATTACTAGGAGAAGTCCTAGAATCCTCTCCTTGGGAATTCCTAAATCAAATACCCATTAATTTGGAAAGATTGATTTACGTTTCCACCAAGAGTCAAAGGGATAGACTGAATATGTTTGGAAAGTCCTCACCAAAAGATACAACATTTCATGTTTCAATATACACCAGCATCCTTAAAGGGGAACTTAACTCAAATGAACGTTTCTGACTTCATAAAAGTGGTTACACAGGACAGGATACAGGACCCGACAAACCTCTTCAACCCACTCAGGCATGCCATTGTGCTACTCGCCATCTGTGTGAAATACCAGCCAAAGGAGGGACTAGTTTCGAGTGCCATCAGTTCGTCGGCCTCAAAGGGCACCCACGAGCACTGTGATTTTAATTTCCATGTGTAGCTTATCTGCCCTGTTAAACCTGGAAGGAAGATCAGGAGAGGAGGGACCCTGAACTTAGAAACCCTCAGAGAATGGAGCTGGCTTGTTAGACTTGCTGGCATGGGTTGGCTAGGCTGGCCGAGGTGAGATATACAAACAGAAGATATATGAATGGAGACAATGGTGAGGAGGAGAAACCATACACACCAGTGAGCAGAACTGCTCTGCTCTGTGTCCTGCACTAAAGCAGCCCTGTCTGCGCAGGGAGCCATGGAGTGCGCCCCTTATCAGATTACCACACCAGTCACCCAGACAACCCACAGGGACCTTCACTTCCTAGGACAGGGCACAGTAGGTTTTCCAACTGTCATCTCCTCTGAATAATTTAGGAGCAGACTTAAATGGAAATCTTTCTAGGAGGTAATTTGCACATACTGATAATGAAAGTTTATCTCAACATCAAAAGTAAATAGTTTGAGCCAGATATTTATAGCCCCCCCCCAAAAACCCCACCCCCCCCACAAACCATGTTACCCCCAAGATCACAACAGACAAGCCCCCCACAGTACACTAAATCCTCCATGCCGCATCCCCCTTTCATCCCCAAGTAATTAAACAACTGGACTCAGGAAGAAGTCAGGGAAGACAAAACAGCTAATTACCTGTTCGGAGCTAGTCTTAATTTCAAGTTCCCTCACCTACCACTGCTCTGGTATTTAAAAGGAAGAAAAGCACTGCCTTTTCATTAAATTCTAGGTTTAAAAGTCATGAGTGCCTTGCAATGGAATTAATGGCATTGCTGCCCTCAAATGGAAAGATTAAACACAAACATTCATGCGCAGAAACCAACACAGGCCCAACTGTCATCTTTCAATGTCTTCATGTCTGAAAAGGACTTCTAACAGATCTGACATCCTAAGCCTTAGCCACACTGCCCCCATGGGATCACTTGATATAGGAGCAATATGGCAGATTACAGTCCTCAATCCCCTGAGGTGGGGCATACTGCAATGGGATAAGTCTGTCCCTTGTAAGGAAACCACCGACATAGAATGTGGGCATCAGAGGCTTGGCAAGC